TGCCATGCCTGCTAAAGCGCGGCAGTCCTGGGGCTCAAAAAACCGGGTCTGGGCAACCAACCAGGCAAACCGCTCAAGACATCCCCACAATCTGCGCGCGGACGGGCCAGTGTCAGACACCCTGGCGGCTCCCCCCTGGAGTGCCCAACTGCCGCTCCTGCTAGAACGCGGTGAGCATGCGGCTCTAGGAGGCTCTCGAAAGAGAAGAGTCTGGACAACCAAACAGGCAACCCGACTGAGACATCCCCACAGTTGGGCGCGAAGGGGCGAAGGGGCCAGTGTCATAGCCCCTTCGGATGCCCAGGTGCTCTCAGGACTTGGCATTTGTTATGGGTGGTGGTGTCTTCAAGGAACAGGGCCCTTTTTGCGCGCGAGGGCAAAGCAAAGTCCTTGGTGTGTTCGCCCAGATGTTTGTTAGAGCTCTCTAGGTCGTTTGTCCTCTCTTCTCTGCAGAACATGGTGTTGTTCACTTGACGGCACCAACGCAGGAGATAACAAAAAGCGCTTACATGTGAGGGAGATCGCAAGGAATACGCGTGCTTCCTGTTGCTCTCTTTCTCTCTCTCTCTCTCTCTCTCTCTCTCGTTGCAGGAACTCTCCACCATACCGGTCGCACCGGTCATCCTTCATCCTCCGCGTCCCCGCCCTGGCTACCATCGGTGAGGCTGAATGAGGTACAGTCGGGCTTGATTGGAGACGACACGCGAGACGACACAAGACCCTTCCGAGGGCTACATTGCCACGGGAACTTAGAAGGCACGGGCCTCTGAGGACAGGACACACGGGTACCCTTGACTTGGCAGGGTCGACCTACTAATCCGGGCCGACTGTAACACACACACACACATCAGCTCAGCACGCGTCCTGAAGATCATCGAAGCTGCGTCCCCCGCGGCGCCAAAGGCGCCCGCAGGGCGAGGCGCTGGCAGGGCGGCCAAGCGCCGGTCCAAGAGATCCGTACGGATCTCCTAAAAAGTTATGTTATCGGTGATTTCTCAGTCTGCTTATCATTAATATTAGATCAATGTCAGCACTAGTACTAATATGAATATTGCAAAGTTATTACCCTTTTTATAATATGAGTATATGTTGTTTTGTATAAGTGCTATTACAAGTACTACTACTACTACTACTACTACTACTACTACTATTATACTACTACTACTCCTACTCCTACTACTACTACTACTACTACTACTACTACTACTACTACTACTACTACTACTACTACTACTACTACTACTACTACTCCTACGACTGCTACTACTACTACCACTACTATTACCACTACTATTACTACTCCTACGACTGCTACTACTACTACCACTACTATTACCACTACTATTACTATTACTGTTAGTAATACGATGTGTGATACTACGACTAGAAGCTATTACGAGTTCTACTATATGGCTATTCCTGTTACTATTACTAATACGATTACGATTACGATTCCTAATGCGATTACTATTACTGTTAGCATTGCGATTACAACTACTATTAATCATACAAATGTTACTCATATTACAAGTACTAGTACGAGTGCTATTAATATTACTCTTACTCTTCCTCTTACGCTTACTACCCTTACTACTATTATGATTACTACAAATACTACTACCACCACCACCACCACCACCACCACCACCACTACTACTACTACTACTACTACTTCTACTACTTCTACTACTTCTACTACTACTACTACTACTACTACGACTACTACTACTACTACTACTACTACTATATACTACTACTATTACTACCACTACTACTACTACTACGACTACTACGACTACTACGACTACTACTACTACTACTACTACTACTACTACTACTACTACTACTACTACTACTACTACTACTACTACTACTACTACTACTACTACTACTACTACTTCTACTACTTCTACTACTACTACTACAACTACTACTACTACTACTACTACTACTACTACTACTACTACTACTACGACTACAACGACTACTACGACGACTACGGCGACGACGACGACGACGACGACGACGACGACGACGACGACGACGACTACTACTACTACTACTACTACTACTACGATTAATCACATTTCTACGACAACTATTTCTTGTTGATGCTATTACGCCCATTCTTATTGCATGAATATTCCTAGCGCTACGAATAATACTATTACTATTACTATGACTACTACCATTTTCGTTCTTATCATGACTAGCGGCCGTTCCCGTCCGCAGGAACCACATTAGAAACGAAGGAGCTCACGCGCGCCCTTACGCGGGCAGCTTACGCGCTAATGTCCGTGCAGACGACTCTGCTTTTCTGCATCGCTCACAATACAGTCTGAAGAACTTTTGCTTAGCGTGTCGCGGCTGCGGCCCCAGAGACATCCTATGCCTTGCAAGAGGATAGCATGTCGCTGCGCTCTGCGGGGCGGGAGGCCAGGAAAGGCTCGGGCCTGTGACGCCCGGGGACCGCGACGTGGACAGCGTGTCGCGCCGAAGCGTGGTGGGCCAGAACCGGTGGAGCGACAAAAGTTCCTGACCGTAGGTCAGCACACGTCCTGAGAATCATCGACACTGCACCCCCCCCCCCCCCGGGGGAGGCTCCCTCTCACTGCTTGGACCGCACCCGCCCGCGGGGGCCTTGTGGACGTGCACGAACACCACCGGCCTCTCGCGCCGGCGCCTCGGCTCCGCGCCCGCAGGCCAGAAGCCACCCGGGCCGCTCAGCCCTCCTCCTCCTACTCCTCCTCCTCCTGCTCATCCTCCTCCTCCACATCCTCATCC